TTTTCCGTGTTGATGAGCATTAGAATGAGAAAAAATAACGGGACAAAAAGAAATCAAAAGACATGTAGAATAGATAAAAATGTGTGATTAATCGTGAGTTAACTATGACATTAATGCGATTAATCGCAATTAAATATTTTAATCGTTTGACAGCACCACTGCACACATTTACCTAGAAAAGCGACGTTTGTCTGGGCAAACCTTGAATGTTGGCATGTCGAAGTCAAATTTGGAAAATAGTTTTAGAAACATTGATGTTTATGGACATGTTAGACTGTGTGAGAGACTTCACAATCAATTGATTTTATAACCTTATAAGATATGGATGTAGCTGGAATAGACAAACCCTTTATTTTGGGGAGTGTCAGATACTATTAGCTGTATAGTTAGGTAAATGAGAAGGGAGTAATGGAAGCCGTTTCAGTGCCCACTTAGACACACATTATTCTCACCACTCAGAAATGACTGAATTTAGTTGACTGTGAAACTCATCACTCGGACGTTATTGACTGAAACTGCCTCCCTAATAATATAATGTGGTTTGTGCAAAGCTAATGATTATTTCTTTGAGCTTACTGATGCGCATCTGAGAAATTTCATTTGCCCAGCTTAGATTAACCATGTTACACCCGCACCAAGAAAATGATTTACATTATTAGGTAAATATGTTAATGTAATCTCATCCGCTCCCTGTGGTTCTTCCATAACTTCATTTTCCCAGGAGGAATTGCATTGCAGTCAGGATGAGTTTAACTGAGTGGAACTCTTTCTCATTGTGTCTTTATAAGAAATAAACGCATGAATTTGAGCTCTAAGACCTCAGCTTTGCACAGCAAATTAAGCTTGACATTGACTGTATGCATTGTTTTGCTTTGTTATTGTAGTTTATCCCACTGCCAGTCAGTTTACTATTATTCTTTGAGTATAGGGCCACAGGCCTTGCGTGGTTGGTTGTGTGAGAGCGTCTCTAATCGTCAGGGAATGCATCAGTCTTAACTCATCATCTTTGGAGTCTGAGCTGACCTCTGGCTCGTACTGCCTGAGAGCATGTGTTGAGTGAGTTCATCTCTTTTTTAGTTACATCCACTAACCATTCATCTAACAGAGCAGTGTGGGTGCTGTTTTGATGCCTCACTGAATAAAAGAACAATCAGTCTTTAGGTAATTATTTGGTGGTTTATATGTTTGAATAATTTATTTTTAACTTTGTATTCTTAAACGGATGATTTATGTTGCTAATGTGCTGAAACTCTTTGAAGATGTGAACAATATGTTTTGGAAGAGTGCAAACATTCTGTCTCTAAATGCACCCACTCTACTACTACAACCATCAACCACTTATATAACAGTATTTGTTGCACAACTGTTTACTATTTTTATATATTTTAAAATGTAATTTATCCTTATCCTGTGACGGCAAAGCAGAATTTTCAGCATCAATTATAGTCTTTAGTGACACGTGATCCTTCATAAGTCACTCTAATATGCTGCTCAAGAAACATTTCTTTATTATTATCAACAATGTTGAAAGCAGTTGTGCTGCTTACTGTTTTACTGGAAACTGTGATACTTTGAATAAAAAGCTGAACAGAACTGATTTATTTAAAATACCTTTTTGTAACGAGATAAATGTCACTTTAGAGCAGTTAAATGTATGCCCAGGAAAAAAAAGTATTAATTACTTTAAAAATACATTTTACTGACCACAAACGTGTGTGTGTGTGTGTGTGTGTGTGTGTACTTGTACAAATAGGTTTGAGTATTAGACCATCATAGTGAGGACAAAGAGAGTAAAGTTATGACACTTTTTTAGACCCCTTTAAAGACTTGATTGACGATCAAGACTTGGTTTTGGGGATAAGGTTATAATTTGGTGTAAGGGTTGTGTGTTTGAATGATGCAGACAAAAATCACTCCATTGCTGCGCTATAAATTGATTGATTGAATTGAGTGTTAGCAACTCTAACATTGTTTTTTTTTTCTTACAGAATTTTGAATGAGTGACGCTGGTAAAAAAACAGCTTTGTCGTAATGCTGTCATAAACCCCGATCATGAAACTAGCCTAATGACGGTCTTTAGGAAGTGTAGCACATTAAGTGCGCACTATGCTACAAAGCTTGTTGAATCTGATTGTTTGACGAATGTTTGGCTAAAGTAGTTTCCAGGCAGGTCTTAACCACATTACAGTTCCATATCACTTCACCAAATGATTTCAGAAATTTCCTTCTCTCTTTTTTTTTTTTGCCACAAAATTGCGTTTAATTACGCAAAGCACATAGTGTCTCTCTCCCACTCAAATGCACACTATGAACAGTCATTCGCACCGAAATGTGTTATCAACGCTGCTCTGATGATTTTAAAATAGTTTAATAACTTAAAAGCTATGTACATTTCTCACTAGCAAGGTCAAAATGGCCCTGTTCAGATAAACATACAGTTTCACTATTAGTAGAGACGATCAACAACACTGTTGAGAGAGATGCACAGACTCAAGTAATTCACACAGGCTAAATCTGTCTCTCTCTATCAGTGGTTGAAGCCTCCATTACTAACTCTAAAATTATGTTTTGGAATTAGCAATGGAGGCTTGGGATTAGATGCGTAAGAAATTAGTCATGGATGAGCATTTTAAGGACAAAAACCTGACAAATGTCTTGAAATACATCATCTGAACAATGTTTTGAGGTGTGGTAACCGTATAAGCAGAATAATGAACTCCGGGCCATTGAATTATCAGAAAAATAATGCACACCCGAGGTACCTTACCACCTTAGGTGTGCATTATTTTTTTTAATAATTCAACGGCCCGGAGTTCATTATCCCTTAGTTAAAATAATTACGATATTCCAAGTGTTGCTTTATTTTACATTGGTGCAGTGCTGTTACCAAACTACTGTGAGTATTTTGCTGTGTGAATATGCAGGAACCAGGGCAGTGAATGGAAAGCCCTGTGGGCACAGTAGTCTTCAGGGTTATGGAGGAGAGAGGAGATAAGACAGACTGCGTTTCCCAGGAGGCTATGCTATCTGTAGCAGTCAGCCAGACAGTTAGAATGGGTCATTCAGTTTATTCAGACACATGCTGACAAAGCCAAAAACATACACAATCACACACTCACATAAAAGCGCTGTTCAAACAAACCCGCTCTGTTTCATACATTTCCCTAGTCGCAAACCAACAAACCTTCCGGTGTTGGGTTAAGCTCTGGCCTTAAATAGGAAAAAAAAAAAAAACTTCCAGTTTCAAATCCAATATGGCTGCCATAGATGAGGATTGGGCCTCAATTTGCAGAGCCACAATGGCCATGTGCTGATGATGAGATAGCTAAAATGAGATTCACAGTTGTCTTTTTCCCATTTCTTCAGAGAAGGCTATACAATAGCAGAGTCCAGCAATAGACATGCCATTCACTCTTATGATTATAGATAGTTCAGGCAACAATGGGCTGCAGACACAGATTTTAGGTGTCAGAGAGAGTGAAAAGGTCTTCATATATCTTCTTTTAAACACTGAAAATGACTCAAAAGACTGTGAACAATGGGAGTGAGAGAAATCAGTCTTGCTTCTATTGATTTGTAGTTGGGCTCCCAGACATGTAGAGATGTATAATTTATGACACTGTCTTGAAAATGCTGTGTGAACTTGATTTTCAGTGAGCTTCAGTTTTGGTTAACAATGATCAATGGAGAATAAGAAATAAGGAACTGCATGTAGAAGGCATGATTTTAATAAAGTAACCTGAAATAGCTTGACTCTCTAAGATATTGAGCAGCACAAGTGTTTTCAACATTGATAATAATAAGAAATGTTTCTTGAGCACCAAATTAGCATATTAGGAAGATTTCTGAAGGATCATGTGACTCTGAAGACTGGATTAATGGTTGCTGAAAAATCAGTTTTGCCTTCACAGGAATAAATTACATTTTAATAAAGTACAAAATACATTTAAAAAATGTAATAAATTACAAATTACATTGGAAAACTGTTATTTTAAATTGCAAAAATATTTCACTATTACTGTTTTTTACTTTATCAAATAGCCTTGGTATTAAATAGACTTTACAGACCCTCAAACTTGTATGGAAATGTGTCACTGTATTGTGTTTTAACTGTTGGTACACTATTAACTAGTGGTGAAATGGATTGTAAAACTTGCAGTCCGGATATAACGGTTTTTGAGTCAAGGATCCAGGACAAATTTTCAGGTCAGCAAAAAAAACAAAACAAAAAAAAAAACATTAAAAACAAGTGAACAGTCAGTAATAAATAAATGCAATATAGCAAAGTTACAAATACATTAATGTCTAACAGTAGTATTTAGTACAGAAATGTAATAATTAGCTAACTATAGTGTTTACTGTATGAAATAAATATAGATTAATGTTTGTTATTACACGGCTATGTGGAATACTTGATTCTGATTGGTCAATTTCGCCATTCCAGCAGGATGTTTTCCCCTATAACAACTGGTAAAAACTGAAGTGCTTTATGCTTTAAAAACGTTTTGCTAGGATACTGTATCGCATCCCATAAATGTCCGTCTAGTTTGAACTTGCCGCTTGCTAGCAACTTGCGTTTGGTGACCCAATGAAATATTAAAACTCAAATCAATATTTTGTGTACAATTATTTATGTCATCTGGGTATTGCTGACTTGTTTTATACAAATGCAGTTTCTGCGATTGTTTTGTACACGGTAATGGATTATAAGATAACAAATCAGTGTGTCTTTTAGTGTATAATTATTTACTTATGTGGCAAGTAGCTGTGTTATAAGGGGATAATGTACATCCAGCCAGTTGTTATTGCAGAACTAACCTTTGAAATTAATCCGCAAATCACATGCGTTCCGAACCGTAGGGCCTGGTCCATATGGATCATGGTTCAACTATGATCCTTTAAACCCATACTATTATCCAATCAGCATCCATGAGCTAAATTGCTTTTTAACATTAGTTCATAATTCATCCTTAAACATCTCTCTTTGTTGCCTCTCGTAGGTCGGCAGACATGTCCACCAGAGAAGTTTGACTGTGGTGGCTCAACAAGCAAGTGTGTGTCTTTGTCATGGCGCTGTGATGGTGAAAGGGACTGTGAAAATGGAGCAGATGAGGAGCAGTGTGCTGCAGGTAAGTCCTGGGAGGGAGAGAGAAAGGAGGAGAAAATTGCTAAAAATAGCTTCTGTCTGGATAATGCATAGTCAGACTTCAGTGTGGTATGTGTGTGAACTTAATGGAGTGGAGTAGTGAGGTGCAAGTGAAGTACAGAAGCTAACCAGATGTTTGATGTTATTGTCGGTGATAGTCTTTTTATGATGTCCTCCTGTTGTTTAGGATAGATATGAAAGAATGCTCTTGATCTTAAAAAAGAGACACAATTTTTAGTTTTAGACACCCAACAGTTGGTTCTTGCATTGATGGATATCACTGTGGGTGGGAGTGAGTATTATATGTGTTATGGTTATAAATTAAATAGCAAAATAGCAATTCTGCTTACACACGCACTTTCAATCTCTTCCTTCCACATACACACACACACACACAAAATAATCTGGCTGCCAAATACAGGTATTTCAATTTAATAGTATATTATAATAAACAAATATTGATTTTGCTTTGCTTTTTGCCATGCAACCTACTGTATACAAGCATTGATTCTCCAACTGCCTCTTTTATGGAGAGATTATGGATTATACGTTTGGCCTTTTAAAGTCCTTCAGGATCTTTATTATTATATCAAACCACTGATGTACATTTGAAAGGGTCATAGATAAAAGTTAACTCCACATTTTAACTCCAGTTTCCACTGATAAATCCACTGGTTAAACGTTTTCTGTACCGCCTACTAAGTAACCTGTTGATTATTACTTTGTGTACTGTAATATTATCTATATTACAAACTCCCATGTGATTGTTTATATGTGTGTTGCGAGCAGAGGGATATAGTGAGTGTGTAGAGGAGTCGGGTATTCGGCAAAACGATCAATCGGTCGACCACTACACTTCACAATTTAAAACCTAAATAAATGCTGCGTCCCAGTTCGCATACTATCCGTCCTAAATAGTATTCGAAAATAGAATTAGTACGTCCCAAATCATAGTATGTTGAAATGAGTATTTCAAAGATACCCGGATGGTCTACTATTTCCGGTCAGAATCCGAAGTGTAGATCGATTCACACTCGATTCAATGAGTGTGAATCGATCCAATGAGTGTGATCGATTCAATGTGCAATGGTTTGTAGGCTGATATTGCCCACAAACCATTGCGCATTGGACGAGGATTCGGTTAGAACTACAAAAAAAATTTGTGTTAAAAGTTAAAAAAGTAACTTAAGTAGTGTTAAAAAAAACTAGACGCGGAGGGCACGAGTCCTGCGGTTGCATAGAGAGGTTTAGATAAAGAGCTTTGAGTGATTAATTATCAGTATCTAACCTGACGAAAATGAATTTTATTCAATGTTGTCCACATTATATTGCATATGCAGCAGCATTGTGAACTTTTGTAAAGATATGTTTAGCCATTACTTTTTAAATGCATCATTATATTCAAATTGCGAACACAATGAGAGTATCCGCTTGGAAGACCCACGACTGGCAGATGAACGTGCTCTCCAAAACAATAGGAAAAAAAATTAAATAGAATGGAGGATTTTAACTGTAAGATGGTTGACAGGGCAGTTTACCTGACAGGATGCACGCAGCACACGACAGAGCGGTCCGTTAAAGATGACGTGATCTACTCTTTTGCTACACACTCAAAAGTATGTACTTTTTCTTCACAAAAAGAGTGCATACTTTTAGGGCGTAGTATAAATAAGTGAATTGGGATGCAGCAATCCTGATGAGATCACACTGGTGATAAATACATATTTCACAATTTAATTGTTGTGTTCATAATATGTAATTGCACCTTTTATCCAGCCTAGATGCGTGTGCTTATCACAATCTCCAAACACAGCCATGCAAAGTCTCTTGTCTTTGTGTCACTGTAGGCTTATGCTTTCCCTTATACTTAATCATGTAATAATGAATTACAGGACAAGTCTTTCAACTCTAGCTCGATCTTTTATGTTTTTTTTTCATTTTCTAACCATTAGCACTATGATTAGCTCCATGACAGCGTTTGTTTATCTCTGTGGATTTATAGCTGTGATTTGCGTGTCGCACGGTCCTGTGCTGAACTGGAAAATAAGAGCATTAACATCACTGTAATATTTCACTGCGTTGCTGATTATAATTGATTTCCTGCTTCATGTCTGGTCCTGAGACTTCTATTTCTTTATTATAGAATAACCTGCAGGACTGTTCCTTTTGATTAATAATTGAAGGTATTAAGATACGGTCTGAATACATATTACTCTTAATGCTGTACAGCCCATAACTTCTAAAGAATCATGTTCCCACAAAAATCACATTTTAAATCCTGTTCAAATCAGTCACCTCATAAACCAGAAGCTCATCAATCATATGTGGCAGAACAGGGATGATTGTAGCAATTTTGGGATTTATGAAACATGTTTAGCCTAAACCGTGGCAATTTTGCATCACCAATCTTTAAAATGATGTATTTGATTCATTGTAAATGCATAGACTACCATTTTTTTATTATTATCACAGCTGAACTGTTGTTCTGCTTAATATTTTTTGTGGAAATATATGTGGAAAAGCAATTATTTTCATTTTTTATTCTAACCTTCTGTCTGAAATGATTTGTTTTTAAGGGCTTAACCCCTTAACTGGCACCCCCCTTTTTGGCAATGGAGTGCAAACTGACATACCCATAATAAAATGGTTGTTGCTAATGAGTCCTTGTGACCACACACAAAACCAAGGTATCATTTAAAAGCTGACACTTGACAGTTTATTATGAAAGACTTAAAATTGTTCTGAGCAATTACTAACAGAGAGATAAATAAGCTCAAAAACAATGGACTAGAATTTTTTTTTTGTATATTAATTTTTTATGAAAAAGAAAAACGCTAAAGGCAAATATATATGGGCCTGGAAACACAAGCAAACTAAAGCCATAGGTCTTAACAATGTATGTTTCAAATTTGAAGTTTATACAAGCAAAAATGAATTTTTTACAAAGATTTATTTCAGCGCATGTCTAGGCACCTACCCAAAAAGGCCACTTGGAGTCTCCAAAGGGACACTTGGTAACCACCTTTTACCATGAGCTATAACAAGTTTGTTTGATCATTTCAATGTGTTTTTTATTACAATATGACAAAGCACAATATATATACTTTCTCTGGTATATTTTTTACCTCCTAAATGTTTATAAAAATGTGTGTGTTTGCATTTTTGGAAAGGGCCCCAAAGTGACACTTGGCAACTTACTTGTAAAAAGTTTAACAAAGTCTTTGTTCACTACCATTCATTTAATGGTTAAGAACGACACATTATTTAGCAAATAAAACGTTTTTATTTATATATTTGTATACATCTACAAACAAAAGTTTCTCTTTGTTATTAGCAATCAAGACAGTAATAAACATTTCTCAAAAAGTGAGCAGAAAAAGTTGATGTGCACAGGACTGTGACACTCACAAGATCGACGAGGAGGAGGGTCAGGCACCTTGCTTTTGTTGGGATGTCCAGCCAGCTCCAAAATCAGTCTCCCAGAATGCCTTTTGAGACATTGGCTTCTGGTTTTTAGCCTTTGCCAAATCCTGTTGCAGAATATTGGTGCTGAAGTGCCATCACTGTTGAACAACAAACAGGAAAAGAAATTTAGATTTCTTAACATTTTTATAAATACACATTTATTTTCAAATGACCATTCACATACAGCAATTTACCTCTACACCCACAATTGTTGCCCTGATTGCTATATTTGCACTACCGGCTTTGAATGTAAAATCTGTGAGGATCATTCACATACAGCATTCACCTCCATAGCCACTCTATTGTTGCACTGATGGCACATTTACACTACAGATTTTATATTCAAATTATCATTCACATAGAGCAATTCACCTCTTTAGCCACTCTTTTGTTGCCCTGATTGCACATTTACACCAGCTTATAGTGCAGACTGTAATCAGACAACAATGCCCTAAAATACTATTTTCTCCTCACTAAACATTACTTGCTTCACATTATTTACTTACCACAAAGTGCTGGGCTGTCTCTTTCCTCTTGAACTCCCAGAGACAGCTGTAGATGTTGCAGCAACACATGGACACTTTGTTTGTCTGTTGTCCAGAGAGGCCTCTGTCTGGTACTCTCATCATCATCATCGTCACTGTTGAATTACACAACATGGATTAGAAACACGCCTAACACAACTGATTATCTTACATAAAAATTACTTTTTGTTCTCTGAAAAGTTTTGTTTGAAATTCGTCTTGCGTTCTACATACAATACAATAGCCTACAGCTAAAGTTACATAAATAATGTTCAATGTTGTAACGTTACACTTCTAATTCAGCGCTTGAATAACAATGGAATTGCACTGCATTTCAATGTACTTATAAGCCCCAATACTAGTGCAGAAAATAAAAACTAAAAAGCAATGTAACAAACTCACTAAAATGTTTAGAAACTTACCGATCTAAAACTGGATCGAGACCTGCCAAAAACATATCCTCTTCTTCAGAGACGGCGCTGGATACAGAACTCTCTTCTGAAAAATACACGTTTTCTTCATCCCAGCTTTGCAGAAGTTATTCCATTGCAGCAGTAGGAGAAATAACTTCTGTCCCCGACGTGAACCCATTGCAGCAGGCAAATGTAAACAGAGCGAGTGAACGCCAGCCAGCAGGTGTAGCATAGAGCAGAGCCTGGGTGTCATGACAACCTCGTCACGTGTGCGTAAATTTCCATGAAGCAAATCGTTGCGCGCACAAAGGAACACTGTTATAAACGCGAGATTATGTAAATCCGCACATGGGCGTATTCGTTATGCCATAGGCTTCAGATGGGTGACAACAGAAACGTTTCCCATTGCTATTGGTTTATTTTTTTACCACACATATTAGCATTATACATGATCACACGTCAGCAAAAGCGCCTGACATCCTTCAATACTTTCTATAATTACATGGCCAGTTTTCATCGGACATCTTCTGGACCGATCTCATTCATTTCCAGACACTTTACTAAAAACACTGATATGTTGT